CTGAAACCCACGGCAGAGCCTCTTCGGTTCCCAGTGCGGGACAGAAGGAAAACACAGCACGTTGTGACAGGCCTGCTGCATCGCTGCAGGGACAGACCCTGCACAGCACAGAACCGGAGCTGCTTTTTCTCTCTGCCTCGTTTGCAGAGCAGGAACCAAGATAAAGCAGCCGTTACCCACCTGCTAGCGGAGGAGGCTTCCTTGGCCAAGGGGCGGGTGGCAGGGCAGCCTGGCTCGGCAGCTCTGCCCCTGCCCAGCTGCAGCGGGGGAAAAGGCAAAGCAGCCTTTGGCTGAGGCTCCGCTGGGAGTGCACGGAGAGAAGGAGAGAAACATGAATGCTGCAACAACCATCAGCAGAAGGGGAGCAAGGCAAGTCCAAACCAGGCAGAGGGCAAAAGCTGGGATGGGGAGGAAAGCAGAGGACAAGCACACACTGAGCACAGGACAAAGGGAAAAGACTGAAAGAAGACAGAATATCTGGCAGAGAAACCAAAGGAACTGCCAGTCTCAAGATTTTATCACTCCATCCCCGCAGCCTCAAACTCCTCCAGCAGCAGGAACATCACCTACCAGTGCTCCCACCTGGAGGACGCACAATGCCTCCCTTCACCGTGGCCTCATGCTTGGGGGCTGCCTGGGACCGTTCCCCCTCCACAGTCCCACCCCCAGCGGGGACTGGAGCACAGGGGTGCTGGGAGAAACAAGCCAGCACACAGCCCTGGTGATAACAGAGATGGGAGGAAGGACCTGGGGGCCCCGAGGGTTGAAATTGCTGATTTTTCTGGCTAATTGCGTGGGCCAAGGTGGAGATTTTCCCAACAGGAGTTTTGCTAGACAGAGCTGAAGTGTTTGTCTCCCGCTCTCAGCCCCTTCCGCTCAGCTCCACCTGATGCCCACAGACGGTGACTCACCTTGCACAGGCCGCTGCTCGCTGCAGCCCCGGCTCACGCTGCTCATCCAGCTCTTCTTCTCCTTGGTGCCCCCCAACCCACTCCTGTCTCATGGGGTGACAGGAGCCGGCTGGTGCCGGTGGTCCTGCACGTGAGCAGGAGGGCAGGAGCAGCAGTTGGGGACATGTCTCCTCGCCCGTCCCCCTCCGTCTGTCTCCCCTGTGCCCAGGCAGGTGATGAATTGCTGCTGGTGCAGAGGCAGCAGGTGCAGGGACCTGGCAGCCATCGTCACAGCGCGTCACCGCGTGGAGAGCAATCAGGGCTGGCCGCGGAGCATAAATACCCCGCGCTGCTCCAGCGAGCCCCGTCGGTCCCACCATGTCGCTCTGGGAGGGGATGCTCTGTCCCCGTGCACTCCAGGGCAAGAGCTCCAGGGACATCTTCCTCCAGGTGGTGACCCCCGACCGCATCCCGCAGTTTACTATCCCCTCTCTGGATGTCCACAAGAAGCACAGGTGCTCAGGCAAGGGGCAGCTGGTGGGGACGGCTTGGAGGAGCGGCTCGGACCCAGCAGTGGAGGACGAGCATGTCATGGCCGGCTCTAGCTCGTCCTGCTCTAACGCCGGGCTCGCTGCCACTGCACAGGCTATCCCAGACCCCACTGCTCAGGCAGCTCTGTCCCTGCCCCATCTCCCCAAGGTCACCACCCCGTATGGCTTTGTCACCCTGGGGCAGAGCCCACAGGTCACCAGTGAAGAGGCGTTGTTTTTTCACTCGGGCTTAGGTTCCCCTCGAGGTCCTGCTGCTGAGATACGCCCCAGCGGGCAGGAGGAGCCAGGATGCTGCAGACACCCCGGGATGCCCATTGCTGGGAGAGGCGGCTGCTCCTGGACGGGTGGGGGCCTGAAGGACCACAAGCAGCTGAGTCCCCGTGCCCTTGCTGACCACAAGGATGGTGGAGGCAGCCAGGCCTACAGGACTCCAGCAGGGCTTCCTCTGCCGCGGAGATGCGCCAGCCCACTCAGAGACATCCGAGTAAGGGATGTTCTGGAAAGCAAAGAGGCAGAGAAGAGAGAGAGGAGGCTCCTGGAGGTGGGCTATCAGAGGAGCAGCTCCAGCCCGGAGCTCCGCACTAGGACACCCAGGAAGAACTTGCTCCAGAAGATCCTCAGGAGGCACCTTGCCCACCCTCGGCAGCTCAAACCTATGAATTTCACTCTCCACTGATCTTGCAAAGCAGCTCTGAAAAACAGAAGTTCCTTAAAGACTTGGGAAAGAGAGACTTCTGCAAATGCCTCAGGCTGCCCGGCGGCCAGGCTCAAATGTGAGGACATCAGATGTGTCACCTAACCTGGAGGAAAAGCACTGAAGGGGCACGGCCCTTGGCTGGGGCATCAGAAGTGCTCTGCAGCAGGAGGCCCTGCAGGGCTGGGGGCTTCGCTGGGTGGGGCAGGACCTTGGCAAGGCAGGAGGGGCAGCAGCAGCGGTGAAGGCTGAGGAGCAGAGGGGGCTGCAGGTTTGTAACCCTACAGTGTCTGAATAAAAGTGAAAACATTTCAACTACCCAGTGCATCTCTCTTTTTTTTTTCTTGCCTATGCCAGCAGTTGGGTATAAATAGGCCATTTTGGTGCATCCCAGCATTCCCTCCTATTGTATTCCCAGTCTCAGCAGCTCTTGCTGTTTATCTCCAGGTGAGAGCAGGTTCTTGACGGGCCGAAGCTGCTGAAACGCAGAGCAGGAGACTGTCCGAGCCCCTCAAGACATGAGCTGCAGCAGGCTAGGAGAGAAGAGTGATCCTTCATGCCACTTCATGGCTGATTTCCAGCTTTGTGGCTGGAGGGTGGGATATTTGCACATGCCTGGGTCCCTCTCCCAGCCTGTCCATTGCAGGCAGGACCTCTGCTTTCAGGACACAGCAGCCTTCCCAAAATAGTTACTCCACACCAGTCCACAGGGTACATTTGCCAACTGCTCTTAACCAGCTGCAATAAAGCGTGTTCCACGTTATTGACCATGCTCTCATAAATTGCTTTTTGTTTTTATTGAGAAGCAGAACCTGCAATGCCAGAAGTGAAGGGTTCATGGTCAGCAATGTTTGGGGGCTAATGAAGCAGAGCCTCCGGGGTCAGCAGCGCTGGGCTGCTGCCATGTTCACTTTCAGGGCTCTTAACTCTCCATGAGGATCCCTGAGAGGTGGAACTGGGAGGGCTGGTCCCCATCCAGGCAGGCAGCTGGAGTGCAGCCAGCTGGGGGGTACTGGGAGTCAGCTGAGGTCCCTGCAATGAGACCACACGGAGCAGGCAGCAATCAGGTTTTGCATCAGGGCCATTAAACAGGGAGTTTATTAACTCAGTTTGATTCTCATCCCTGCCAGGCTGGCTGTGTGACCCGGGCCGCATCCTGCTCTAACTCGGTGGCTTGGTTTCCCCGGTATCTTCTCTCTAGTTTGACTCTAAGCCCTTTGCTGGAACTGCCCCTTACAAGACAGCTTTGCCCAGTGTGTCTGAGAGCCACACACCAACAAGGATGAGCAAGCGGCAAGACACGGGGCCCCAGAGTCCCTGCTCTCCTCCAGACGATGCTGCATGAAAGCACCAGTACCCACAGGACTCCAGCGTTGGCGTGAAAGGAGGGTGGGAGCTCTTCATAGTGCAAATCCCAGACTTCTCCAGGCACGTATGTGCCCGCCTGCACAGCTCATGGCATGGGTATTAACGACTTTTTCTCTCCAGCACAAGAGAACGTGGCAGCCAGGGCTGATAGACGGGGTGTCACCTCTGCTCAGTCTTTAGGGCTGAGAGGGCAGATTGAGTTCCCAGAGATTAATAAATGAGCGGTTATCAGTTACTTGAGTTGTGGTATCTGAACATATGCATGCTCCAAAAGCTGACGGGCAAATGTGAATTAAGCCATGCTCCTGTAAACCTCTCTCCTTTTGCTTTTGATGCTTAAGCTACTACATAGTAGTGGCTCTAACAGCCTCATCATCTCCCAAGGAAAGGATGGGGACAAATCCTCTCACTGAAATGGTGAGCCTGCTGCATTTAGCAATTAAACCCAGAGATTGGAAGCTAGGACTTCTGGGGTTTATGCCCTGCTTGGTGACCTTCCTGAGCTCCTGAGAACCTTTTTGTGCCCTTTACCTTGTCTACAAAATAGGAAGAAATCCGCTTTGCTTCACAGATGGATTGCAGGGCTTCATTCATCCTTGTTCACAAGACATCTCTGGTGCCCTTGGCAGGATTTCCCAAGGGAAGAAATATTATGATATGTTATTACAGCCTGCCAGGGTACAAGACTCATTTCCTCTGGATGTGCCAGCATGGGGACTATGAGCCTGGACAGAATCACAAATTAAAGGTTTGTTTAAAATGGTTGCGGTGGGGATTGCTACGTGTCAGGCGCGGAGCTGGGGCTAAGCTAGGAAAGAAACACCAATTCCCTGCAACACAGCAAAGGTGCTCTGCGGTGTAACTGTGCCTCTCTGCCATATTTCTGCTGGCTGCCAGGTTACAGCTCAAGGCATCTCTCCAGCCTGTGAAGTGAGAAGGACAATATCTCCCACTGGAGCAACGTGCCTCTGAGATTTACAGGATGCCCTTTCCCTGCAAACCCCACACCAGGCGGTGAGGACATTACAATGGGAGACATCACTGATGTGCAAGATAAATAGTTGTTACCAGCGACTGATTATTCTGCCTGGGCCTGGTACATTTTCTAAATGCTGTTTTTGTCTGACTCAGAATTTTGTTCCAGCCTCCTGCAGGTAGAGACAGCAGAAAAGCTCGGGGCTAATTATCCATTCCTAATCCCACGTACAGCGGTTTTAGCAGCAGCAACCACGCTTGGCTGCAAGTAGGTGGAATCAGAAAAGTAACCAGTTCAAGTCTCCCAAGCAGGAGGGGCCGGAGCAGGGACAGCTCTCTGCAGCTGGCAGCTCCCCGGCACCCTCCCGCAGGTCTCCACTGCCACAGCCGGAGAACCAGGCGCTGCCACCCCACCATGCCATGGCCTCCGCCAGCTCTGTCCCCAGCTGGGACCCTCTCCTGCGACACTGAGATCCTTTTTCCCTCCGCGCTGACCCTTCTGAAAGGTCAGACGCTCCACACGCCAGTTTATTGGAAAGAAAACCTGCCAAACTGGGCAGATACTGAGAGCATTTCCCAGTGCCTCATTCATGCAAACTCTTATCAATAAAAATGAACAGACCATCCCTTTGATCTCAGTGGATCTAGCAGATCTCTCCAGATCGCCCTGATGGTGTTATATCTCCAGCATTTCTCCTGTAACCTCCTGTAACTTGTGGAAATCAAGATAACATCCCTTTTCTTTTCAAACAAGCCCAGCTACACCCTGGCCAGGCTGCTACGATCCCTGGTCACATCGGCACTTCAGCCTGGCGCCCTCCCGTTAGGCTCTGCAGCGGTGGAGCAGAGCCCCCCCCCCCCCCCCCGCAAGGGGATGCCAATCTCTGGCTGTTGGCAACCTCAGGTGCCACAAAGGTCACGTATTGCACGACAAGGGCTCTTCGCCACGCTGGGCACAGAGAGGTGTCGGTCTCACGGACATCGGGCCCTGAGCAGCAGCGGGAGTCAGATGGGAGCAACAAACATTTCTCCAGGTCATTTTTATGCGACGGAGCACCTGGCCTTCCCGAGATCAATACCGAGCTGCTGCCTTTGCCAAGAATTTTATAGTCAGTGCCCATGCCTGCTGGGTGAGATAAACCCCTTCATGTGCTCATTAGCTGCACAGCTCCTCTCCCAGCTAATTGGTGCTGGAAAGGTCAAGCTCTGGCTATGAGACAGTCTGCCACAGTCAGGAGTCCCAGCTTGGGAAGCAGGGAGGCACGCAGGGCCGGGGACCGAGATGTTCTTCCACTGAGTCCAGTGGAGTTGGGGATGCAGTTTCCCATCTGGTTTCCCAAGCGAGGGGCACCATGTGCATCTCCCTGCCCAGACGGAGCCCAGCTCTCCCGCCCTCCACCCTGCTGACCCCTCCTGAAACACCCTCCAGCAGCACACGTGCTCTCACCCCCCCTGCTCCACGCCTCAGGTGCCTGGCTGGTCTGCGGGCTTCACCGGTGCCTGGATGCTACGAGGATAACAGCTTCTCCAACGGGTTAGATTTCACCTCCTCAGCTGGCAGGCTGTTTGTGACCAGGTAGCGACTGCCTCAATTTAGCTGTTATTCTCATTTGTTCCATGAATGGGTTTGTTTGCTTGTTGCCATTACCGCAAACATCTGACAGCCAAGCTGTGCTCGTTAGCTGCGCACGGTGCAGGGAAAAGGCTCAGCACTCCTGCCGGGCAGAGCCATGTGAGCCTCTGCAAGGCACATGGCAGCAGCTGCTCTCTGCTCAGCTGCATTTGCACGGAGAAACCGCTTTTCCACCCACCCTGGCTCAGCAGCAAGACCTCTGTCCCCAGCCACAGTCTGCAGAGGCGCAGCTGCGTGAGAGCATCCAGGTCCTTGCTTTTCCCTTCAGATGCTCCCAGAGAGCCAACCGTGACGAGACTGATCCACTCACGAGGAGGAGAAATACTGGCTGCGTTCCCCTCCTCGGGGCTTACTTTAAACCCCAGGGTGATCATCTGTTGCTCTTCATGAAGAGTTGAGGGTCATATCTGAGTGATTTTCAAGCAGCTCCTCTTGCTTAGACTATATTCAAATATCTCTAGAGATGGGTTTATAGTGTGCAACCGGGAGCAGCCGGTGCACAGGGGATGCAACGTTATCTCTGGACATCTGTGCTGTATTGCTGGAGCTTAATGGAAAAGCAAAGCTAAAGCAGTCTCTGCGCTGTGAAAACAAGGAGGAAAATTCCTGGCTGAGCCTGTCCCAAGGCAGGAACAGACAGCAGGAGCTACCAGGACAGGGAAATGCTCAGTGGGGGAGCTCTGTCCCTCCGTGACAGAGCCAGGCAGGGCAATGGAGGGATCCAGGCTGCTGCGGACCTGAACCTGCCTGGCAGGACAGGACTGGCAGCATCACCTGGGGAAGAGGTGGGCCGGGACCTGGCACATGCCTTTGGCGAGTGTGTAGGTGTGTCTGCAAGTGAGCACAGGGCTGGGCAGGAAAATTCACCCCATGGAGCGATGGTCCCCGCGAATTTCCACCGGTGGCCATCTAAGTCCTCCCACAGCCACCCTGGACAAGCGAGCAGGTCGCTTCCCTGGGGCGGTGGCCTTGGCGTGGCAAGGAGGGGTGGCAGTGCCCGCATGGC